GAGAGCGGGACCGACCTCAGCTCCAACTCAGCCTCCACTGTTATTAAAAATAAAAATCGCTAGAGCAGCCCTCACCACGTCTACTTTGTATGTATCACAGAGGGACGCACGCGTGTTTCCAACTCGAGCTACTTTCCTCATTTTCGATTCTTAAAAAAAATTTTTTTTCGTTGTTTGACTTTTTATGGAGGGGTGAAGACAGCAAGATTTCTAACTCAATACTCTTGATTTCTTTTAGGATAGCTGGCTATTTGGAATTTTGAAGGATAATTTAATTTTTTTTTCTAACTTCCTATGCGGCTGTAAGGTAAGTGTCCGTCTGTCTTGCTTGCCTGTCTCTACCCATGTGTTCTTGTGCCTGCCATCGCCGCGGTACCTCCAGTAGACCGACTGATGCACACTTCTGCGAACGTGGAGTTCTTCTGAAGCTTGCCGGGTTTTTTCCTCCCTCGTAAATTTTTTAGGTGTAGTAACGAGCTTTGCGAAAAATTTCTGATCTGGAGGTGAGGGCGGGTGTGGGAGGAGGGGAGGCAGCGCGTTCCTGGGGTCGCTGCTACCGCCCAACGCCGTGGAAACCCTGCGAGTCTAATGTGGGGTGTTTTGGAGGGGTTTTGTTTGTGGTGTTGTTTTATGTCAACGCCCATTCTGGGCTTCTCCCTGCTATTTTGCGTTTTGGCCCTCAGATGTGGTTGGGTCATTTGGACTGATCTCAAGGACATTTTCAGAATCCGAGACAAAAAGATACAGATGTAGCTAGACAGATGATGATGTTGATGATGGTAATAAGATAGGCGTCTTCTAGGGCCAGCGTGCCCGAAGCCCGGCTCGCTCGTGGATCAGCGGGTGAGGATGGTCGCAGCTCGAGCCCCTGCCTGCCCTTAACGAACGTGAGAGGAAACCCGAGCGGATAACCGAGGAGGCGTGGAGCGCCGGCGGCTCGCCCGCCCCTCGCTCGCCGCTCTGTCCTGGCCCCTTTCCTTAGAGACAAGAGCAGCTCGCCAAGAGTCGCCCTCGGTTCTCGGCCTCTTCCAAAGGCCTCCAGGTCTCCTTTTACTTTTTGATCACCACTTTCCTCCCTCCGAAGTGACCCGGGAGTGCAATAACGCCCACCGCCAGCCCCCCACCCCCAGCCCCAGGTTGTCTCGGTCCCAGACCCGGGTCGCCAGGCCGAGCGAGAGCGGGAGTGTCGTTTTGCTACGTGACTGTGCCCGGAACGGATCCGGGCCCGCCGGGTGATGCGGCCCTTTGCACGCACCTGGGGCTGGCAGAAGCGTCGGCGAGGGGCCCCGGCTCCGCCCGAGGCCGCGGCGGGGCCGGGGACAGAAACCTTCCACTGGGGGAGGCGGCCCTCCGCCGATCCGGACCTGGGCCGGCTCCGGGGCCTGGTGCGCGCTCGCGCGCTCCCCTCCCAGGCTCGGGGACACCCGGGCGTCGTGGGCCGGGAGCGGGCCTGGGTCGGGGGGGGCCCTGAGGCCCAGCCTCCGCTCTCGGTCCACCCAGGTTGAACCGTCAGGTTTCCGCCAGCGGCCGGCCTCGGCGACGTGTCAGGCCGCCAAGTCCAAAGAAGTCTTCGTGTTGACGCGTTCAAGTGGCTCTTGAAATCACAGTTGGGTTTCAGAACATATTTTTTGAAATCCAGTCCCTCGTCCGAACTCCAGCGAGTTGGCTTTTTCCTCCTTTACAGACGGAAGTGGGGTGCGGGGACAGAAGGCCGAGCCGCGCGGAGCCTGGAATGGTGGCTGGCCTGGGGAGGGGTGGGGAAGCCGCTCCTGGAAACGCTGCCCTGCGTCCTCGAGCGCGGGGCTCGGGGTTCCTCCCGCTCAGTTCGGGACTCTTCCCAGGCACCAAAAGTTACTAGCACAGGAGACCCGTTGGAGAGGAAACTCCTCCCCCCAAAGCAAGGTGGACACCAGACCTCTCCTCGCTCCCAGGGCTAACATCGGGGCTTTCTCCTCACCATAATTAATAGTCAAGGCCAACCCTTTTGGCACGTTTCTGCCTCCCTCCCTCGCGGGTGGCAGCGCTGCTTGATTCCCCGAGGCCAGAAACTTGCACTCGAGTTCGTCGGAGAGGGAGGCCCGCGCCGGCTGTTTCCGCGGGGCCCACGTCTCTCCTTTTTTCTTTCTCTCCTCTTGCTCTTCGCTGTCCTCCGAGCCACAGGCCAGTCGCCAGTCCGCGTAGTTTTGTTTCTTTTCCATCATGCAGAAAATTAATCAGCCCGGACGAGAAGCAGAGCTGAGCACGGCGGCCTGTAATTAAGGGACGTGTGCCCCCCGGATTATCTCGTTAGTTTATCAAGAAAACATTTATTATAATTAATTCTTGGACGAGGTCATTATTATTGAGCGAGGACACAGCAACTGGTAGATGGGCTCCTTGGAAGAAAAAAAAAAACCCAACAACAACACCGGGGCGGGAGGGGGGGAGATGCGGGGGAGGGAGGGAAGAGCGACAGATTGCACGAATTGACCGTTAGATATAAGGCGGCGCGGGCCCAGGCGGGCAGTGGAGCCGGACCCGGGGCGCCAGGACTGCGGGCTGCCGCGCAGGGACGCCGCACCGAGGCGCGGGCGCCCAGCGGCCGCGGGGACTCGCCCAGCGACCGTCGCCCGCTCGCGTAGGTAGGACTTCTCCAGGGGCAGTCATATTGACGCTTGTAATTTCGAAAGGGTATTTCGGTTTCCCCTACCGGGCTCGGCTTAGAGCGGAAGGGAGAAAGGCGTCCTTGCAGGGCTTTTGAAAGTTAGATGGAAGGGCCCGTGGCTGCTTCTTGGAGAGCGCATACCTAGGCCGGCTGCTGAAAGTATTTAGTAGTTTTATTTGGGGGGCAGTTTTTTCTTTCAAAGATGCATACAGTAGTTAAAGAGAAAACAGTTTAGCCCAGAATTGCAGTGATTTTATCATGGTAAGGGCCAAAGAGCTCCGAGAAGGATCTTTGCCTAGCGCTTTCTGTTACTGCTTTTTATGTTGGAATGTGCCACTTTATGCATCAGACATTTCTAATTGGGTGAGAGCTCTCCATGTAAGAACAATTCTGTATTTCTCATGTGTACATCTGCTATGATTTTAGCTTTTCCTATGGTAGTTCAGAACTTTACAACATAGTAAGATTGTATTAAACAAGAAAGAACTCCAGCTTAGAGGCTATATATAAACAAATAAATGACTGTATTTTAAAGCAACATTGTTTTCACAGGCTCTAAATAACCCTGTCTTGGAAAGAGAGTAGAAAATATCAAGCCTTTGTTACGGGAGCAACTAAATTAGTTTTATTGACCAGACAGTACAAACTCCTCCAAGAGGGGTATTTATAAAAATTACATTAAATTAGACCCGAGGGTGGAAAAGCATGTTTTTTGTTATGAATTTAAATAGGGAAGAAGTTGCAGTAACTAACTTCCATTTGTGGAATTTTGTGTCTTGATCTCTAAAGCAATGTAAATATGAAAATCCAGTCCTAAAAACTCAGTAGGACCTTTGTCAGAGTAAGAGGGAACTTCTAATCTTGTATCCGCCATTTTGAAGCAATCTCTCATAGTGTCAAAGTTGCAAATTAGAGATCTTTGCAGGATAAGTGCCAATTTTTAGACAAATAAAAGCTAGACTAGAAAACTGTCAGCCCATATTAACATCCGTTTTGGATCCCTTTGCTTGGGGGCAGTGAGAGACACTCAGCTGAAGAAAGTAAATAACTTTTTTCTTCCTGCCTTTTCCCTCCCTGAGCTCTTTTTCTTATAGGATTGTAGAAAACTTGAAAGGTAGGGAGAAATTCTATTAGTCTCACAACTTTGGGTGTTTGGAGATCTACTTTCTTCAGAACTAAAATGTGCAAAAGGCAGCCAGCATTAACAGGAAACTGCTGTAGCTGCTGAGGGACCCCCAATGTCTGAATATTTGCCTCCCGCCGCATCTGCGCCTCTACAGCATCGAAACCAACATGGAAGAGGCTTGCACTCCAAATGCTCACCCTTTCTGCTTGCAAATGTGGGGGCCTGTCATTACCTGATTGGTGGGATTCTAACTTCAGAATTTCTAGCAAACCTCATGCCAATCTTTAAGACTTTTTTTTGCAGTGTGTTTAAATATTTGATGGGTGTCGATTAAAAGTTAAATACTTGTTTGTTTAGCTTTAGTTCTTTAGACACATAATCAAGGTCCTCCAAAACCTTACTAAATCTGTTACTTACCTCAAAATCTAATTACCCAGACTACTAATTAGGTGAAAATGATTACTGGAAATGACTTCAAATGTGGAGTAATAGCAGTTGAGCAGTTTTCTCAAGTTTGTCGATTAGCAAGTTGGTATTTTAGATGTTAAATGCACTGACATTTTAGGTTCACAGCAGTTAAAAGTGGTAAAAAGCTAAGATAATTAAAATTTGCCTTGGAAAGGCAACAGTCTGGGGAGAGGTAGATTTCTTGAATTGTTTCTTTGTTTCTCACCAATGGGCTTTGTTATCAGCATTATTTATTTAGCCAAAGAGTTCTTTGTCTCTGCAAATGGCCCCAATCAAGTTTTGTTTGAGACAATTAGCTAGTGCCAGCCAATGAGTCCTATGCAAATGTAGGGATAGGAATGCAATGTGTGCATTTGAAGGCGTGGGGTTTTGTTCTTTGGGGGAAGGCAGATTGTAATTGCTTTCTTCTGGTACTTTTTTTTTTTTTTAAGTTTAGTGTGGGGGTGGGGAAGACAGGTTTATCTGGCCTCTCTCCATCCCCTCTAGTTCCAGAGCAGCTGGGGGTGGGTGGGTTGCAAGTCCTTTAAAAGCCTCTACCTTGCATAGCCCAGGCTCTTTCTAAGTTAGTGGTGGAACGTGGTAGAGCTGCTGCCTGCGAAGCAGTAAACCAGCACCTCTGTTTGTTTGTTTGCTTTGCCCACAGTTCAACCGCTCCAAACCCACACACTAAGGACCCTGAGTCTGCCCACCCCCAGCGAAGCGAGACCTTCTGGCTGGGTCCCCCCTATTTGGGCCAATTTTGCGCCTCCAAACAACCTTAGCATGATGTCTTATCTTAAGCAACCGCCTTACGCAGTCAATGGACTGAGTCTGACCACTTCAGGCATGGACTTGCTGCACCCCTCGGTGGGCTACCCGGGTAAGTGAGCCTCCGGCACTCCTGCCTCACCTTTTCCCCAGGCCCGCCCCTCCGGGTTGTGACGCCCTTTCCCCGGGGGCTCTGGGGCGGGTGGTCTCGCTGCTCCCGCCCCAGCTGCAGGCGAGGTACCCACTGGGCTTTCTCTCTGAGAAGCAGCTCAGGGCCACAGGGCATTTACCGGCCGGAGGGGAGGATAGGGGCTGGAGGGAGTAGGTGGATCCTGCAACACTTGCGGAAACTCACACCCATTTATTCTTAATGGGAGGGACTGGGGGACACACTTCGGAGCCCCTCGAGGGCGGTTACTGCCTCCGCCCCTATCTTGAAGCCCAGTTCCTCGAAGGGCCCTCTTCGAGCCACTGGGTTTCTCCTCGTAAATTCTCCGGGCCTCTCCTGGGGCTTCCCCTGTGACCTCCAGGCCTCATGCCTCTAATCCCTAGATGTGTGATTTACCCTGGGTACGGGTGCTTTCCTTTCCGCTCAGATCTGTTTTTTAAAATCCTCGTAGAAGTAGGAAATATGCCCCCATTTTAAAGATGGAGGAACAAAGGCTCTTAAAACCAAGGTCTCGAGCAGGATCAAGATGTCGCCCCATCAATCCGAGCTGCGGGTCCTCGGGGATCCTTTGACTTCACGGAGTGGATTTTTTTGTTTGTGTTGTGGTTTAAGGGTTGCTTTTGTGGGGTTTTAGGATTCTTGGCTTCCTTTTATTTCATCTGTTAGCTATGGAAGGGTCACTCTGGCTGGAGCTATCTCCGACGCCAGGCGAAAAGGGGAGGGCTCCCCTGGAAGGGACAGTGTTGGCCTGGGGAGCCGAGTCCGGGGAGGGGGTGGGGAGAACACCTCTGGGCTCTGGGTGGAAGGGCTGGGAGGACAAGGGAAGGGCCGGGAGTGGGGGTCGGGGCAGTTGGAGCGCCCGCAGAGACCCCTATGACTGAGAAACTGCTCCCCCACCCTAAAGGGCCCTGGGCTTCTTGTCCCGCAGCCACTCCCCGGAAACAACGCCGGGAGAGGACGACGTTCACACGGGCGCAGCTAGACGTGCTGGAAGCTCTATTTGCTAAGACCCGGTACCCAGACATCTTCATGCGGGAGGAGGTGGCGCTGAAAATCAACTTGCCCGAGTCCAGGGTGCAGGTAGGGCAGACGTAGATAGAACCGTCCTTCCCGGCCGTGAGTGCCCCTCCTCCCCTGAGCGTATGTTGAGGGCCCCAGGTCTTAAGAAAGCCCCAAAGGAAGGCTTGAAACAGCCCTCAGTTGGAGGCCAGTACACTCTTCTCCTAAGGCTCCTTGTGCCCGATTACTCGCCTTGCCTCTTTCTGTACCCCCACCCCATCCTGTCAGCACGAGTCTCCGGGCCTAGGCTGTAAGGTAAGACTGGCTGCAGTGATGCAGCCCAGTCCTAGAGCTCTTGGGTCCCCAGCCAACAGAGGCCTCGTCTTGGCAGATTTCAAGGGCAGTCACTTAATATTTTAATACTTTCCTTTCCCCATGTGGAAATCCTACCCCATTCTCACCTACTTTTAGAGATGAAAGAAGCTTAGCTCCTGGATAGCCCCAATATTTTTACAGGTGAAGAAATGGAGTAAATGACTTGCTCAAGGTCACATGTCAGTTTGGTGGTAGAGCCAGGCTGTAGAAGCAGCTGGTGCTCTCATCAAAGAAATTACACAATAAGAGTGTTTTCTTTGACCTCTTAGGGACTGAACAGAATTTGCTAGCTCTGAGCCATTTAGCAGATAAAATATCAACGCAACATCCTCAGTGACATCCTCCCCTCCCCTTAACTTGACCTTAATTAAGCTGGAGAGGGAGAGTAAACTCCAAATTTCCTGAAACGCAAGCCCCACGTAGAGTTCCCTGGACAGAATGTTTAGCACCTAAACACACACACACCCTTGGGACTCCCCTGTAGCCAGGACCTATCAGTGTGAACTGCAAACCAGGCAAGACACTTTTCAAAGTAAGGTGGGAGAAGTTTTAGCACTTGGGAGGCTTGAACTCAAGTCTTCACTTTAAGAAAAGTAAATGGCTCTGAATGGTTGGTGGTGTTATGCTCAGCTTTAGTGGCACCGCTAACCCACCTGTATGTAGTGCTCATTTGAGAAGACCATGGAGGACTTGTTGCTCAGAAAATGCCTGTAATTTTCTCTTGAAAGAGGGTGGTGGTTTCTTTGCTAGCCCCCCCCCCCTTCACTGCAGCCCATGAACGGGACTGGTAAAGAGAGTGTTCACAGTTGCAGGCAGAGGTTTACCTTGACAAGCCAGTGAACACGGCATAGGGAACTGAAGCTGTGTACTGAATGGCACTACCCTGAAGGCAAAGACTCTAGTATCAGACCTGAGAGGAGCAGAGAAGTCTGTTCTCAAGCTCAAAGCTGAGTACGTACAAGACATTCCACTTGCCATAAAGAAGGTTTTAGCAAATAGTGGCTTTCAGACTTCCTTCAACGGGAACACTTCTCCCTGGAGCCCTTGTTTGTAAGTGAGCCTTTTTAGGAGAGAAGGAAGAAAAAAAAAAGTAGAGTGATGGAACCAACCTTCATGTTAAAAGTTATTCCCTAGAAGATGGACTGTCAACTTTGAATTTAGGCTGTTCTTGTTGGCAAGTCGCGACAGAATTGTCATCCCTCACTTCTCTTGTGCTTTGCTCCAAAAGACATAGAAGCATTGTATTCCACCGTAAGTGTTCCACGATACTGCAGGGTCTATGTAGATGTGTGTATTTGAGGTGAAATACAAGATAGGAAAATGAGAGGGAGAATTTTTAGCCATATGATTTATTATTCTGGGCTAGGAGTCCAGTGCTTCTAGACAGCCTCCTCACTTTCTTTCAAAACCAGGGCTATATATAACGGCACCATATAATAGGTTTTCGGTGACAGGAGAGATTGTCTGCTTAGCTCATCTGTCCGTGGAGGGCAGCTTTATAAGCTTTATAATCTGGGAGCCGTTCTTGTCCTTGAAACCACGTTAAAGAAATTTCTTTCCCTTTCAAGGTATGGTTTAAGAATCGAAGAGCTAAGTGCCGCCAACAGCAGCAGCAGCAACAGAATGGAGGTCAAAACAAAGTGAGACCTGCCAAAAAGAAGACCTCTCCAGCTCGGGAAGTGAGTTCAGAGAGTGGAACAAGTGGCCAATTCACTCCCCCCTCTAGCACCTCAGTCCCGGCCATTTCCAGCAGCAGTGCTCCTGTGTCTATCTGGAGCCCAGCTTCCATCTCCCCACTGTCAGACCCCTTGTCCACCTCCTCTTCCTGCATGCAGAGGTCCTACCCCATGACCTATACTCAGGCTTCAGGTTATAGTCAAGGATATGCTGGCTCAACTTCCTACTTTGGGGGCATGGACTGTGGATCTTATTTGACCCCTATGCATCACCAGCTTCCTGGACCAGGGGCCACACTCAGCCCCATGGGTACCAATGCAGTCACCAGCCACCTCAATCAGTCCCCAGCTTCTCTTTCCACCCAGGGATATGGAGCCTCAAGCTTGGGTTTTAACTCAACCACTGATTGTTTGGATTATAAGGACCAAACTGCCTCCTGGAAGCTTAACTTCAATGCTGACTGCTTGGATTATAAAGATCAGACATCCTCGTGGAAATTCCAGGTTTTGTGAAGATCTGTAGAACCTTTTTGTGGGTGATTTTTAAATGTACTGGGCTGGACATTCCAGTTTTAGCCAGGCATTGGTTAAAAGAGTTAGATGGGATGATGCTCAGACTCATCTTCTGATCAATGTTCCCGGAGGCATAGAAGGAAAAATGAAGGGCCTTAGAGGGGCCCACCAACCAGCAACCTGAAACGGACAAACCAGTCTACTTAAGATCCTGGCATAGTTTTAGATCATTGGTTTTCCTGATTTGCAAAGTGATCAAAAGCATTCTAGCCATGGGCAACCAAACGCCACCAAAAAAAAAAAAAAAACAAAACTAAATTGTGAGGGAAAGGAGGGAAGGACATAGCCTTCTTAAGCAGAGGTGTTCCAATGTTTTAGCCAATCCGTGGTTGAATCTTAGGAATGAACAGTGTCTCAAGCTCACTCACGTTTCATGACCAACTGGTAGTTGGCACTGAAAAACTTTTCAGGGCTGTGTGAATTGTGCGACTGATTGTCCTAGATGCACTACTTTATTTAAAAAATAATGTTCATAAGGAGTCAATATGTAGTTTAAGAGACAATCAGTGTGTGTCTTATATAAATGGTACATCTGTGGTTTTTAATCTGTGCTAGACTTCAAAACTGTGATCTCCTGTTATTGTATGCAATCTTGAACTCCGCCTCTGCAGGGGTTCTTCTGTGATTAAATAGGTTATAATTATAAGCAAATTCAGAGCAATTGAGTACTTATCTAAAAAGATTACCTTTGGCTGGAGGTGAGCGGCACTGAAACTTGACAACAAAATGTTTCTGGACAAGGTGAGTGAGAGAAGAGAAGCGGAAGGACACGAATTCATCTGTAATTTACTGTTGGTAAGCCTGGCAGTAAAGAGACATTGGTCAATTGCTCTGACCCTGATGAATTTATAGACCGAGATCATTGTCGTTTATGCTTGCAGATGTTAACTGGAAAAGTTATATATGCATAAACCTTTTCTTCCTGGATTTGGCAGATATGTATAATTATATTAAAATGGTTCTAGCACAATATTGGGTCCAGTTTAATTTTATGCCACTGTTTATGGATGAAAAGCCCACATTCAGCCTCTCCTTCCCTAAACATATTTTATTTAGGTCAGGGAGGAAATCAGTAAACTCTCCTTAGAAAGCATTTTTGGTTTTATCAATGGATGCAGTAGATACGAGTGACTGTGGTATGTCAACTTTGTGTGACTTCCATCAGGACTGCTCTGGAATAGACTATGGAGAGCCTAACAATCCTTATGATCTTGCTCTCCTTGCCGCACATCATAGTGATTTCTTAGACACTTTACTGGTACATTTTAACATAGTTCATTTTTTTAGTGAGAAAGGAAGAACTGTACTACCTCGGAGAAAATGGGAATGACAAAAATTCCTTGTTTTTATTCTCTCAAATGATTAAGGGGATTTTTTTTTAACTTCCAAAAAAATCGGAGGTGAACATGAGAGGGAATGTAATCAGAATCTGAAAGCAGTTCAGGCAGAAATGATTTCTGAACAAAAGAGTTCCAGAAAAGTTTTAAAACCTGTAATTTCAGTAGTTGAACATAAGGCATCCTGGTCAGTTTTGTTTTTGTTTTGTTTAAAGAAAGTGCTGGGGAAAAGAAAATGGGTCCCTTCTCCTTATACCTGCATTTTGTAAACCAGAAAAGACAAATGGGCCAATGGTCATGGTGCTCCTTGGGCAAAAGCAGTATTTAATTTTAAACTCTTTATGTTCTTAAATTTCACCAAAATTAAGTGACTCTTGATTGTAACTTTTTAAAAGAACTTTAGCAATTACAACCATTTTGTTTTCTGGCTAATTTTTCTGTCCCTGGCTGTGCATGCTCTCTTGAACCCTATGTAATCTTGCCTAATAAGTAAATTGGTTTTGTTCTACTGCTAAAGGAAATGCAATAGTTTACAATAAGCAACTCAGGCAAAACTTGATGGCAAGATTTTCCAGTACCCATTGATATTTACCCTACAGTAGTTTACACTGAAGTGAAATTGAGGCCTAAGAGAGACTCTTTGCTTTATAATTTTCCAGCTTCTGGGTCTCACTCTCCCAGCTTTTCTCATGCAACAGTAAAGCAGATCGAAAGTAATTTCACCGCTTTCAGTTTTCAGAAGGCCCCACAAAGGATCGGGAAAGACCTCCTCTCATTAAAAATAGCAGTGGCAAACAAACAGGGCATTGCTCAGCAAATAATGCAGTTAGGTTTCTCTCCCAATACTAGAAACACGGAGGAGGTCAGAAAAAGGCGTTGAGCATCTTCTGAAGCTAATTTTTCCATCACCTTTGCACAACTTCGTTTAACAGACCACGGAGTTAAATCCCTTTGAATTGATGGCAAAGTAGAAATGAATTCCCCCGGACCAAAGGCAACGAAGGGAGGGAAAGGAGGGCGGGGAGCAAGCGCCGCTTTAAAGACGGCCAGAGAGTTCTGATCACCACTCCTACTCAAGACCGGGTTTAATAAAGTTAAGCCCAGTCGTGGCGACACTTGTACTGAAATGACGTCACCCTCCAAAGGCGTCAGGGAGCTACTTCAACTGCATATTGGCAATGGGGGGTGGGGGGGAGGCAGAGGTCGGGTGGGGTAGTCTGCTTCACAAAGATCTGTTGCCCCAATCCTTTATCTTCCCCACAAAGATTCTTGGCCCTTTGTATTTCACCTTGGGAGTGTTTCTAACCTTCACAGATAAGAGAAATTCAATCAAGTCAATAAAGTTCCGGCTACCGAAATTTACGAGTTTTAGATAATGGTCAGTTTCCTCAACTCCCACTAGGTTCCCTTAGTCTCACCTCTCCCAAGCTTCCCCCTACCCAGCCACGCACAGCCAGGGCGGAAGGTGCAGGGCCCCGGGAGGCCCTGGGCGGGACTGCGGAAACTGAGCGCCAAGGTGTGGGCAGGGGCGGCACGGGAGAGCGGCCTGGGTTCTCGGCTCAACCCACCGCGATTTCCCAGAGCTGTGTTTTCCAAATCTTGTCTGCGCGTCGGAGTTAGCCCGGGAAAGCACTCGCATCTCCAACCCTCAGAGCCCGAGTTGGGGCCGAGGCCCAAGTCCGTTCTCCAAGCTGGTGCCGCCCTCTGGGCCCCACTCACAGCCCTGCAGGCCTGGCTCCCTGGGCCCTGCCTCCGGCTCAGGTCCGAAGCCAGCACCTCCGCGGAGCCGCAGCCCACCCCGCTCGGCTAAGGGTTCAGGCCCCGCGGGATCCGGCCGCGCCCCAGCCCAGGGGGCCGAGGGCCCCCGCGGGGCCTGCGCGCCTTGAGCGCCCCGAGAGCGCGGCCTCCGCGAGCCCTGATGTCTCTCCTGGGTCAGCCGCGGGCCTCAGGGGCGCGCGTCGCCGGGGTGACAGCACAGCCCGGCCGAGTTGCGGGGGTGGGGGTGGGGGGCGAGTGTGTGTGTGTGGTCCGGCGAGGAGGTGAGCACCTTGCGCGGGAAGGAACGAAAACCGAGACCCAAGGAGCGGCCAGGCCCAGGAGATGGGCCCAGGGAGGGAAAGCGCGCCCGGCGGGGCCTACGGCCTCTGGCTCTCTCGGCTCCCGGGAGGAAGCGCCGCAGACGGCTGGGGTCTCCTCCCGGCAGCGAGGGGGAGGCCGCCGCCGCAGCCACAGCGGGGGCTCCCGCCGCGGGGCGTCCTTGGCGCCGACAGGGAGCCCAGCTGGGCCTGCTTCGGGCCCTCAGATCTCCCCGGAGAGCCAGGTGCTTCGGGGCTGCCGGGGCTGAGAAGTCGTGCTCGTGTGTTCCGCCCTCCCTCGGGGTCCTGGGCTCCGAGCTGAGGCTTTCAGCGGGGAGCCTCATCCCTTTTCTCCTACCCCTCGACGTTTCGTTTTTTAACCGAGTGCCCGGTCTTTTCCTTTTTGGACCTGGGCGCAGCCCTGACCGGCCCCGAAGGCCGGAAGCCAGGTCTGGAATGGGGAAGCGGTGCCTTACGCGTCCGGGACAGCGCCAGGAAGCCGGTTCTAGTTACCTGCAGGGCAGCGGCCGAAGAACTGTGCCCGCCCCCGCTTAACCAGAAGCGGGTGATCGGGCAGCCAGACCTGGCACGTACAGCACAAGTTTGAACCCGCATCTAACACCCGGTGGAAACCTCGCTGTTGTTACCGGGGAAAAGCTGTAACCCAAAACCAGGCGTGCCAGTGTTAGGTGGTGGTTTACTGCATACAGAGACATGTTTTAATCATGCAAAAGAGAAAAACAAAGGGGTCGGGCAGGAGCCGGGCGCATCCCACACAAATGGAAGCTGACGTCGTAGAAAACAACCCAAATGGGAAGATACAGGGCCCGACTGAGCCATGACCTCAGCCTGCTTCTTGCCTTCCTTGGAAAGCTTTAGGAAGGACAGCTCTTTCCCTTTCTGCCACAAAAGGGTCCAAGCCCCAGTCGCGCATCTGCATGCCCAGATCTGTGACCAGTGCCTTCCACACACCTCTTTTTCTCTCCTCAACGGGTAGCGCCCTGTAAACGCAGCGTGCCCGGAAGAGACCTGATCCCCCAGCCGCCCCAATTTCCGCCCTTGGGTTAGCACGATAGGAAAGACAGGGAGCCCCTGGGATGGAGAGAGCAAAACCCCAAACAAAACCCACCCCGATGTCTTTCACCATTAGGCTCTGAAGCTGCACAGATTATGGGATTTGTCTCGGACAGAATTAACATTACATGTGAAACCATAGTGCTCCGGTGTATTGAGACACATTGTATAGAATTGCTTGGAGCATCTCTTCCAAACTGCCTGTTAACAGCAATATGAGACCTTAAAGCCTACGCGGGTTTTTGTTTTTAACCCGATTAAAACAAAATTTAGGCACTATTTGGAAAGGACAGTTTTTCTAATGGAGGCAATTCGAAGGAAGCGGAACCATTGGCCAGCTGGAGGACGCTTCTGTCTGCAGAAGTGGCTGGAGAGGAGAAGTAAGCAGGCATGCGTCTGAAAGACCTTCTACTATGCGGCAGCTCCCAGAAGCAAGGCAGGCATCCTCCCCAAT